CCGGTGCGTCTGTAGGAACACAGATGTCTGTCCAGACACGGCCGCACACCTCATACAAGAGGGCCACCAGAATATTCCGCAATCAATGTTTCAGTCGTCCACAAGTGATCACAATTCTGGACCCACTCTTGAGCACAATTCTGGACCCACTAACGGGTCGCCCACTCTTGAAGACCTGATCCAATTGGAACAGAAGATCGATCAGAGGATTAAAGATTTGCCGAACATATCAGTGCCAAACCAACCGACGCACGGCTCCGACCCATCCACTAGTTTTGTGACACCAATGAGTGGTTCCGATGCTAACAGAAGTAATGATCTCTATTTGAATGAAATATTAATTCTTCGGAACCGACTCCAAGAGGCAGAACTGAAGAATGCCATCATTGAGGAGAAGGTGAACCAACTCGAGAGGGCCTACCATTCCTCTACTCTACAACACACCCAACAACTAAAACAACAAATTGAAGACAAGTTCTCGCAATTCATACAGAATTCTAATAAATGAGTCCATCTGTGTGTCACTTATTTATATTATCACTTCATTTAAATGAGCAAGCATGTTTATCTAATCTAATACAGTATTATATTGCAAACTAAATCAACGAATACAACATAAGAATCTTATGGATAAGGAATAGGATGTCCACAAACGGAATATTCTGTAATTGCATACCTGTCCAATTCTACTTAGCTTGCAAAACTTGCTATGAGCACAAATAGGGAACAAATAAACATTTTATGAATATTCCAATCTTTAAGCATAACATCAAGCACAATTATTGAAAACAATTCTTAAAGAATATGAGAAAGGGGTGTGAAATTCAAAAATGAAAGACAGCCACCAGTGAGGATCGAACTCACGACCCCTGGTTTACAAGACCAGTGCTCTATCCACTGAGCTATGGTGGCCCCACTCATACCACAGCTCTAATTATTATTATTGTTTCTATTGGACGCAAAAACTGTAAAATGTTTTATTAACAAAATCTACAAAAATATGCGTTAGTCTGTACGACACGCCTATTGAATTGTATGTAAAACATAGCATTTGTCCAAAATCTTTGTGGAAACAATACTGTTTAGAGATTCACTGCAAGTTTTGTTGACATTCAATGGAAACATTTCTAAAGTTTTAATCATTGGATTGAATGACAAGTGAATTGCAATTAACGACTGAATGAGTGATTAATTGCCAGAAAATGTCGGGCAATGAGTGGGAGGAGGGGTCGGGGGCTGTGGTGTTGGGCACACCTCTGGAGCCGTTGTCTGAGGACCAGGTGGTGAGCCGTAAGCCTGAGTTGGACCTAACGGTGCGGGACTCAGAGGGGCGCCGAAGATTTCACGGGGCGTTCACCGGAGGCTTCTCTGCCGGACATTACATGACTGTCGGGTCGGAGGAGGGCTTCACGCCTTCGCAGTATGTCTCGAATCGCACCCAAAAGTGGGACAAATCGCTGCTAAGACACAAACCCGAGAACTATATGGACGCCGAAGACATGGATGTGTTTGGCATCGCTCCCAAACGCATCACCGCAAGGGATCAGTTCACTGAACAACACTTCGCAGGTCTGTGAACATCATCTGTCTGTCTGTCTGTCTGTCTGTTTGTCTGTCTGTCTATCACTTCATTCACGCGTTTTGTTTGCCGACGAAAATAGGTTTTCGTTCAACGGATACATTGATTGATGTCTTGAAATCAGTGATCAAACCGACGGTCGAGTCGATTGGTCTTCAGTTATATAAACGGATGAAACGAAACGCGAAGAATGACAGCAAATATAACTCGCGAAAGGTCTACGGATGCGATGCGCCGACCAATACTTCGGCGACCAATGAATTGCCATTAGTTTCATACGAAGCGAAGAGTGATTTGCATGGAATCGGATACAAACCGATCGCAGAGGACAGCGATGGCAACCACTTGAAGGACTCGACCGGAGTTTCTGCCACTTTTAGAAGCGGTCGGAAACTGAAGATATCGGGCGAAGCGTTCGGTTATGGAGTTCTGGACGACGACATCGAAGAAGACGCCGTTGTCTACCATAAGGACGACATCTCTCAATACGACTACGAAATCGGTTTCGTTAGACCAGAAAATAAAGACAAGAATAGAGCCAAACATAAAGCCATTGATGTGTTGAAGAGTGATGTGATTGAAGGCTTTGAGAAGTGTTTGACGAAAATTAATTTAATGGAAACGATTGGCAAACAATATCCCATTCCTGTGTTACCCAAACATTGGAAACGTCCGTCCAGTGAACATAAGGCTAAGAAGTCTCGTTGGGATCAGTCCAGTGATCAACAGAAGACAACCACTGATACGAAAAGTGATGACAAAACGACGACAACGATCACTAAAACTCCAGTTCTCAACGCAAACATCAGAGCAATACTTTTGGGAGAAGAAGTGGTTCACAGACACGGAGTGAAGAAAACAGATTCTCAGAGAAAACCAATTGATTCTTCAAATCCGACTCAAAATAAAGAGGTTTTGAATAAAAAGAAAAGCGAACCCATATTCCAGAGCCCTTTGACAGGATTTTGGGCCAATAAGTTCACCAGAAGTAGTGATGGCGCCGAAGACATTACAGTAACCGGAGGTTTGACTGAATTCAAAGACACCCAAAACATGAAGACTATTGAGAAAGAAGTTCAAGAGAGAAGTACTGCCACCGAAAGGACTACTTATGAATGGCATCCCCACAGTCTTCTATGCAAACGATTCAATATTCCTAATCCTTTTCCGCAATATCCAGACGTTGTGGGCGTCGTAACTGTCGGCAAATCAGACGTCAGAAATAGGACTTCAAAAATAAATGATAGGAAAACTAAAACTAATATATTTGAGAGCCTTATCGATGACAGGGTTTTGTCAAAAACATCGTTTGATTTGTCAAAAGAGAGTGATTTTGAGACCAAAAATATGGACAACAATATCGATACGAATGATTCAAATGATGACAATGAAGACGAAGACAGTGAAGAGACGACTCGACCGCCAATGGATTTATTCAAAGCTATATTCGCTTCCGACGAAGAAAGTGATGGCGAAGACATTGCAGACAATACTAAATCCATTGAACCGAACGAACAAAATGTTGAAAAGACTAATGAGAAGAGCAATGAATTGAAAAGTAATAGCGAAATGAATTCAATGAAAACGAGTGGAATCTTTGCGGACATAGATTTTGATCAATTGAATAGAAATTTTACTCCTATTTTGAAGCCCAAAGAATTGGTAGTAAATAAAAGTGAGACCAATAAGAGTGTGGAAAATAGTAGAGTCGAGCCTAAAGAGAGCCAATCGGATGACGTGTACGGACCGGCCCTTCCGCCAGACTCTAGTCTTTTGGTTTCAAATAATGATCACTCGGTTTGGAGTTCGAGTCAAATGAAAGACAAACCAATGAAACGAAAAAAGAGTGACAAAAAACATAAGAAGAATAAAAAACACAAATCAAATCATAAGCATAAGCGGCACCGGAAGGGGTCCACCTCTCCATCCTCGTCATCCGATATTGAAACTAAAATTTTAAAACATTTAAAAAGTTCTAAAAAATAATTATTTAATTAAGCATATTGTGAATGATTTATATTTTGCTAAGATTTGTGATATCAGATGTAAATATTATTGCTTTAATAAATTAAAACTTGTTACAAGTAATTTGTTCACGGTAATTCTGTTTACTTTTTTGCCTTTGCGGTTTAATTTGCGGTTAAACTATTTGTTGTCTAAAATAATATAAATGTGTAGATTGATTTAATGTTAAATGCAGTAAATCATGAAAGGAATGAAATGTTACCAGTTAAATATTCACATACAGTACCATATTTTTGATTGTAATTTGATTTATTTGAGAAGTTTTTATAGTACAGTATTGAGCCTGTATTGTAAACGTTCAATATTTCATAAAGTTAGCTAGAACAATAATGAGTCAATTTTAAACAAACTTTAGTTGTAGCTTTAAAGATGTAATTATATAAGTTTATAAATATTTAATTAGTTTTAGTGTAGTGTTGACATTAAAAAGCGTAATCATATGATATATAATGTAACAAACATTTATTACATAATTAATAACTATAATGAAATATAAATAGTATATTACATATGAATATATCGTATTTCCTGAATCCTATGATTGAATGCTTATCCTTGACTTCCAATTCTTTTGAAAGTTCAAAATATGCCCATGGTAAATATGCAGTAAATTATTTATATTTACCATGATAATGATTTTATAAATTATTATTAATAATAAACCAAAAGTAAAAATAATTATTAATTACAAAAATTTATTAGAATAAATATGTAAATAAAATAATAATAATAAATGACATTTTAAAATAAACCCTTTCCCATTTCTGGTAATCTATGTTTTGTCAGACAACATACAACTGTCCTTAATAAGGACTCCTTTATATCAGTTTATGTCAATTCTATACTATCATATGATTTATGCAATATTAATATTTAACATTAATTGCAATTTGAAAACTATCCTGTTGTTAAGCATTGCTCCCAATCATAGCAACTATACTATAGTATACAGAACTGAGAATTAATTGGTTAATTTATCAATTTTAATTAATCAACCCCGTTTAGATTAAACGTACTAAAATGATTAATAAATAATCGCACAATAATCATATTAAAATATGGACATCGTATTTTGACAATACATTTAATTTAGTTGAGGATTTAGAATTGACTGTTCTTGTTACTTTCTATCATTTAATATTCAACTATATTCCTCTTCATCTCAATATTATGGATAAATTATTCATAATTTTGAAAAATATTTTTTGACTTAAAAAATTAATTTAGTAATCAAATGAACTAGGGTTACAATTAGAATTTAAGGTTTTGTAGATGGTGTATCTTATATACTATATTGTTTTCTATAATTTTTGTTATTCACCTAATATTAGATTAATTTCATGCTTACGATTGATATAAATTGAGTTCAGATAAGTAAATGTTTATCAAATGAGTTATTTGTCGGATAATTGTTTGTCAATATTTGTTTGTGCCTCTCACTGGCACACTGTAATCACACTGTAATGATAGTTAAGCGATAATATAATTGTTTGCACTCATTGTACACTTAACACGAGTGACCAGAAGAGCGTCATATTTGGTGAGATATGATGAGCAGACTCAGGGATAAAAGAGTTATTGTATTATTGGCACAAACTATGATAACTTAATCGGTAATTTCAAACAGAAGTGATAGAAAATAGCAGTATGAGCAATAGTATAAGTAATACAAAGTTTTGCAATAATATCCATCCATGTACTGTAACCGTATATCGTTTTAGTGAATATCGATATTAATTCTTAATTTACAGTCAAATCGGATATCATTGGACTCGGTTTTCATAATTGTATTCATATTTGATTGCAAAGTGCTTTATAATTTTTGGAAATCAGGTTTTTGGATGATTATTAATTGAAAATCTGTCTCATTTATGACATATAGAGTAATTTATGCAATGATTTGCCAGAAATATGACAAGAATTTTGATTTTGCTTTAAGGTATAAAGAGTGCAGAGAGAGTGCATCCGAGAAATGATTAATCTATTAATTATCGATAAATTTCTTCCCGAGAGTCACGATAAGTGAAAGAATAAAAAACAATTTATTTTATAATATATTTGACGTCAGTCTATCATTTGATGTTATTTCACTGGATATGTATTTAAATGTGCACTAAAACAGCACTCAATCCCTCATTAGTTTGGAGCAGTCTTTGCGCAAACGTCTCGTACAATAACTTTTACTATTTATAAGCTATTCGTAGTTCAAAACTATTTATAATTATATTATATTAAGTTTAAACAATTTTTCTCTGAAAATGTCCTCAAAAAACGGCGAATATAATGGAAACAATTCTGTAACTAATGGTCACAACGGAACCAATGGTCACAACGAAACCAATGGTCACAATGAGACCAATGGCTACAGAGAGGCCAAACTTTTGGCCAAAAATAACGGACAGTTTGCCACCCGAGCCGTACATGCGGGACAGGACTCTTCGAAATGGAATTCCCGAGCTGTCATCCCTCCCATCTCTATGGCCACCACTTTTGAACAGTTTTCTCCTGGAAATCATAACGTAAGATAAGTTTATGTCATTATAACACTGTATCTAAAAAAAAGTAGTTTGTATACAGTGTGTTATATTCTTTCAATTCTATAAATATATTAACAAATATTCTATAAATACTCATTTACATTAAAATATTGTTTAACTAATTAGTAAATATTAAATATTGGGTATTGCAATGGTTTAAATTATTTTTTAATTAAAAATCTTTTGACAAATAAGATAATCATTTAATCAGATGTTTTCATTAATGAAACATCTGTTGATTATTAGTAACTCCATATACAGTAGATATGCCGTACAGACAATAATTTGAATTGAATCCAAATATATAATCGAGATCCGGAATTATCTGATATTTCCTTAACAGTAAATAATACTCAACTGATTCCTATGAACAGACTTTTTTTATACAGTAGATATACCGTACAGACAATAATTTGAATTGAATCCAAATATATAATCGAGATCCGGAATTATCTGATATTTCCTTAACAGTAAATAATACTCAACTGATTCCTATGAACAGACTTTTTAAAAAATAATTTCTCTGAAAAACAGCAAATCATTCAATGATTTTGAAAAATTAATTTTTTAACATTAAAAATAATTTTAAATTAGATCAAAACCATACTAAATTTTAAGGCAATATTTTATTTATTTATAAATTCTTTATGTGTCTCCTATTTATTATTCTTTACAGAATAAAGTCCTTGAATTAAAAATTTCAAACTACAGTATCAGTGAATTGATTGATAATTCAATAGAATATTATTGAGAAAATACTCATTAATTATGAACTGATTATCAATTTATCTCCTGAGGGGTGAAGGGATGGAGTGAAGGACAAGCTTTTATGAAGCCGTCTCTTAAACTCAATACATATTTTAAATATTTTAAACTAATATACTTACTATTGCTTACAATTTCTTATCTCCAATATTTCAGACAAATTAATTAATTTGATATATTTTGTAATAATTTTGATACCAGGGCTTTGAATACGGAAGGAGTGGAAATCCGACCCGAAATTGTCTGGAGGAGGCCATCGCATCCCTGGAAGAAGCAAAATACGGTCATACCTTTGAATTATCATAAAAATGATTAAATAAATAACATTTCTGTAATATATTACAGGCCTATGCTATTCCTCTGGTCTGGCAGCACAGGTCAACATAACAAACCTTTTGGAGGCCGGAGACCATATCGTATGTTTTGATGATCTTTACGGCGGAACCAATCGATACTTCCGGACGATTGCCGCCAGATTTGGTCTCGAAATAAGTTATGTGGACGCAAGAGATCCACAGAATGTGCACAAAGTTCTTAAGCCAAACACCAAACTTGTTTGGATGGAAACGCCAACCAACCCAACCATGAAATTAGTTGACATCAAAGCTGTGGCCAAAATTGTGAAGAGCGAGGCTTCACAGGCTATACTCGTTGTGGACAACACTTTCATGAGTTCTTACTTCCAAAAGCCGCTCACTTTAGGCGCAGACGTGGTCATGCATTCATTGACTAAATATATGAACGGTATATCATATTCATTGAAAAGGTTTCGACGATCAAAATTAATCCACAATTTGATTGCAATTCAGGTCACGCGGATGTAGTGATGGGAGCCATCGCTACAAATTCACCCGATATTTTCGAAAGACTTAAATATCTTCAAAACTGTTAGTCTTAACAATTGATATGATATTCATAGCTATTAATAATAAATATTCTGTATATGAATGCCACAGCACTGGGAGCGGTTCCGTCGCCTTTTGATTGTTTTCTGGTAAACCGCGGCCTTAAGACTCTGGCCGTGCGTATGGAACAGCACCAGAAGAATGGCTTAGCTGTGGCCAGATTTCTAGAGTCTCACCCGCAGGTGAGGAAAGTGATTCATCCGGGTCTGGAGAGTCACCCGCAGCACGAGCTGGCAGTGCGCCAGTGCTCGGGATTCAGTGGAATGGTATCCGTGTATATAGAGGGCGACGGAGAGACCGCTAATGTGTTCCTCAAAAATCTCAAACTATTTATTTTGGCGGAGAGTTTGGGATCTGTGGAGAGTCTGATTGAGATCCCGGCGCTTATGACTCACTTGTCTTTGCCTAAAGAGACGCGAGAAATGCTTGGCATCGATGACACACTCGTCAGACTGTCTGTTGGCATCGAAACGACTGATGATTTGATATCAGACTTGTCTCAGGCCTTAACCGCTGCTAAAAAATTCAATGATTTCAAGTCAAAGAAACACATTTTATAAACAATGCTAACTTCTCTCATATAACCCCTGCCCTCACCCCCTCTGCCCCTATCATCCGGTCCTCTCTATCAACAGTGAATTAATCGCGGAGTGACTGCCCCTCCACTGGCATCACATGCCATCCCATGCCATCACATGCTGTGCAAAGCTGTCTAACTCTGTACTCCTTGTGCCACAAACTGTAACACAAAAGTTGTCACTCTTTGCCTTTAGTTTCAGAAAAATAGACTTTTCTGAATCTTTGTGAAAGTCTGATTTGTTGAGTTGTGTTGAGTTACATCGATATCAAAACAGTCAATTGGGTATCTTGTTTGTTTAGGGAGCGTTTTTTCCAGTCAAGGAACTTGAGGGTCAGGCAGAGTAGGGATGATTGAATCTCTCTTCCAGTCCTTTACGAGCGATGTATCACAAGAACTAAATACTCTTAGAAACCAATACTTTATAATTCATTAGAGTTTTTAGTTAATCTAAAAAATACAGTTTTAATGCATTTATGTTTTCGACATTCATTTGTCTCATGCTTTCAGACAATTTTCTTACTCTTATACTCGACACATAAACATTAACTTAACTTCGGTTTCGTATGGCATAGGATTTGCCGCATCGGCGCCTCCTTAATGGTTGAAAGCTATATATGTGTTGAGTATAGCGTTATTCGATACCTCCGAGCGCTCCCACTAATCATGTGCTCAACTTATTTGTGACAAAATT